GGCTTTCTGGAAGTCCACCAGGAGGAGGAACCAGTCCTCATTGCCGTTCTTCGCGGCATCGATCACATCCGCCACCCAAGCCACTGCATCCGAGAGACGCCGTCCCGGGATGAAGCCGTACTGTTCCGGAGAGATGACCATGTGCAGAACCGACTTCATCCTGTCAGCAACCACCCGCGCCAGGACCTTATAGGTGAAGTTGAGCAGAGTAATCGGTCTGTAGTTGTTGAGCTCGTCCTTTTCCCCTTTCTTATGCAACAGAATGGTGACTGCCTCCTTGGTTTCTGTTGGCAGGGTAGCCGATGCCTCGAAGCTCTTCACCAGGGCCATGAAGCTCTCTCCCAGCAAATCCCAATGAGCTTCGAAGAGTTCCTTTGGCAGCCCGTCACCCCCAGGCGACTTGTTTTTGGCCATCGCCGCGAACGCCTTCTTGACTTCCTGCTCAGTCCAGTCCGCCGACAGGACCTCCGCGACTTCTGCATCAAGACGCTGAAGTGAGGAGAGATCCCAGCTTGAGAAGTCAGTGCGGCGATCCTTGCAAAAATGTTCCGGAAAAACGAAGAGGCTGCATCCAGGATCTGCTGTGAGCCGGACACTCGACCTGCACCGACTTTAAGCTCCTTGATCTGGGTGCGAGCCTTCTTCGCCCGAACCTTCGCCGACAGATGCTTTGAAGCTAACTCCCCCGTAAGTTCCGCCGTAAGTCCGGCCTGAAGATATAAACGCTCCGTACGCGTTGTGTTGTATTCTTTCAGCTTCGTCTCTTTTGCCTCCAGCAACGCCCTCGTGACCGCGCAATCTGGGTTCCGCATCATCTCCTGCTTCAACAGCGCCACGTTAGTAGTCAAATGCTGCAATGTTTTCTTAACCCGTTTGCTCTCCTCCTTTGAATAAGTTCTGAGCCCTGCACTCAGCCTCTTCAGGAGCAACTCGAAACTGCAGCCGTCATTCACCGGAGTACGCCGCACCGTCGCCTCAATGATCTTCCGAACACCAGGCCGATGTATCATTGAGGCATGCAGGCGCCACAGACCTGGACCCCTACAATGCTCCTCGTCAAGGCGGAGAGCTATCGAGATGGCATAGCCATGATCCGAGACCGGGTCCTCTGGCATGATGTGCGCGGAGTAAGAAAGGTAAGGAATAAGTGATTGAGAGATTAAGGCTCGGTCGATGCGGGTGCTGACTCTATGGCTTTTTGCGAAGAAGGTGTACTCCCTGCAGCCTGGGTGTAATATTCTAAAAGCATCTGAGAGTTGGAAGGCGGCACAGCGGTGGAAAAAACGCTCATTTTCTACGGCTTTACCATGACCTCTCGAGTTATCTAACAGTGGGTTTTCTATGATGTTCAGGTCACCGATCAACAGGAGATGCTCCGATGGCGAAATCTGATCTAACAGCGGGCCAAAGGAGTCACGGAAGAATGCGGATCTGGCTGGCTTGCTAGACGGAAAGTAAACGGCGAGAAGGGTCAAGTCTATCCCGAGACCTTTAACTGTGGCTTGAACTATCCTACCGGATGGGTGAGCTATTGGGTTATGGAAGGTGATTGCAGGGTTACGACTGAGGACGGCTACCCCGCCAGCGCTGGTCCTAGGAGCGGTGGCTAAGAAAGAGGTGGCTGAAAGAGAAGACCAATAAGGGTGATCTGGGGTGAGTCTTGTGTCAACTAACACAGCTACGTCTGACCGTGTCGGGAACCATGTCCTAACTCTGTTCTGCTTGGTGCTGTTGCCTAAACCGTTCACGTTTAGGCTCGAGAAGGTGAGGTGGTTTTTGATATTCATGGGTCCACTGACTTGCAGCCCTTGATCATCCACAGGCTGATAAGAGAGACAGTACATGCGACGCTAACTCCTAAACACCAACAGGCTGCTGCATCCAGGTAACGCTCGAACTCTGTCACAGATCGTACTCCTTGCGAATGACCTCCAGGTTCAGCTTGTCGAGGGACTCCTTTGTGGCAGAGCCTGCCTTTGACAGCTCGAGCAGGTGAGCAGCTGCAATAATGTGCTGCTTCGCCGCCATGAGACTCTTCCCCTTCGCCTTCCCGCAGCCCGTTTGAGTACAGATCTAGTCTTCCCTGCTGCTGCCGGTGGATACGAGAGCAATGGCCGGATCGCGAAGGATGGGGAGGAACAGCGGAGACGCTTTCAGCAACGCAGCTGCGAAGATCGAATAACAGGTTGGTGCGTGAGAGAGAGAACCGAAGCGGAAAGTGACAATGAGTCTGACTGCTGCTTTTACCGTTGAGCCGGTGCACTTTGCCAAGAGTGAGATTCCATTTACTGACATTATTCTGACGCTCAGTGACAAGAGCATCATGATACTTATCATAGTGCTTGCCGCCACAGAGCGAACAGGATAAGGACGGATAGTGGACGAGGAGCTTCTTCGAACGGTCAGCAGGATCGGCGATCGAGTGAATCCAGCGGCGATTCTTACACCCTGGGTGAGCGTAGACCAGACCCTTCACCACGTCCGTGTCTGCACCAGTGACCGGATGAAGCACACGGTGCAGGCAGGTACACCGCAGAAATGCCGACTTCATGGTACTTGTAAGCGGGTAAGTGGCCAGTTGGTGATGGATTAGGATCAGCTCGATTGCAGCCGAAACCCCGGTGACCATGACTTCAATGGCCTGCGGGTTCAACGCCTTCTCGCGAGCGTAAGTCAAATCCTCGGTGTGTTGCCAATGGAGCGTGATAAGCTGAGCCGAGTTCTTGAGCGGTTGGTAAATGACCTCTTTCTTCCGCACCCATTCCGCATCAGACTCCTTGACAAATGACACTTGCAGGCGACAGAAGCGCGTCTTAGCAATGTAGGTCGTGTGAAGTTCCTGAAACTTGGTCGTGGATGCAGCATCATCTGATAACTCTGCGTACCATCCGTGCTTTATCAGTGCCGTAACAGCTTCAATCACGCAGGAAATTTCTTTATGCAACATAAAAGGGATCAGCAAGATGGCGACAGAGCGCAAACCGGAGCCGGCCTCCTTGGCCAGATCAATGACCATCTCATCGTCGGAGTCATCGTCAACAAAATCATCCTCAGGGGTAAGTCCGACTGAAGGAGTATCTGCCTTATCCGCAGCAGAAAGACCAGAACCACCAGCGACTGAAGATGATGCCTTGTCTTTGTCAATGACAGGAGCCTGGAGGCCTGAGGAGTTGTCAGTACCCGTCGGAGCAGGCACATCAGGCGGCGGACGAGATCGCAGGCCCTTAGGCAAGGCCAGGACATCAGCTGGATGAGCCATTGTGCTATGATGAGAGAAAGTAAGCAGCAGGAGAGCGTGCCGAGCACTCTTGAAGAATGATGCTGGATAACTGAACACGAAGCCATTAAGTAATGTCCAGGCCTTGTCAGGCTCCAAAATCTCGAGGAGTTGGTGATGCACTCTCGAGGTTGCCACCTTGGAGATACCGTTCTTGAGAGTAGAATAAGTGAGATAACTGTTCTTGTTAGATGTATGATCAGGTGAACCATAGCGCGAGCCATTAGCGATAACAGAACCGAGCGATGCCTGACAAAGTCCGTGTAATGTCGTTTGATAACTGGAGATACATAGGTCAGCATAAATGACTGGTAAACCATTGTTAAGGTTATCGACGATGCGTGTAACAACAGCAGAAGTCAGCAAAGAGCGCGGTAACAAGGTCGTTGACCATTGTTGACTCGGCAAGATCCATGGCCACCGTAAGGCGGAGAGCAAGGCGGAGAGCATTGGCGGAAAAAGGTATGAATCCCGTTCAGTCTGATCGAATTTCAGTCCTAAAATCTGCTTCCACACTCGCGGATATGAAGGATGGACGCATGAGATGGATGGAAGCGTTAGATGGATGGATTTGAGATGGATTCTCGATAACCGTACAGACTCGATTTGGGTGATGGTTCTTCATAACGCAAACGAAAAAGTACTATATCGGGTGATTACTCGATTCTGGCATCTACAACAATTTTGTTTTGCCAAGCCGTATCGGTTTGTACCGAGCTGATCTGACTATTGCCGCCCAGCATCCATCGCCTCCTCACCTGAGCAATTCCCGAGGTCGCATTTGCTCTTCCGTCAGTGATCTGCATCTCTTCAAGCATTCTGATGCATTGCTTGCAGCGCGTACAAATGCTGGGTTGACCTAGCTGCTTCTAGGGCGAATCACGGCTCGTCATTCTGAAGCGAAGCGTGTCACGCCTAAGCACGGGGTCGTCCCTGTTCCCGCCTTACTCCTCGGCCGGCTTTCACTCAGATTTGCGAAATCTCTGTCGCTGACCCACTAATTGCAAGGTCGCACGAAGTATTCGGCAATGCGCATCGACATTTCGCGAATTCGCACCGTTTCTGCCGATTCGCTTCTTGATTATTGATCGGGAGCCTTATGTCTCTTACCTGATCCGTTCGATCTCTACCGCGTGATCAGCACCGTCCGATCATGAGGAGCCAGGGATTGGTCGCGCACAAGACGTCTCGAACAGGGGGAGCGGCGAATCTCAAGGCTCCGTTAAAAGAGCTTTTTGTTTGCCGTTACGAGGACGTGTTCAATGGACGTAGCCCGATCAGCACGTGCAGGGAGAAAGGGTTCGAAGGACGGCAGGAGCTGCAACGATTCTGGGACGAACTCCTTCTGTTGAAAGTAGGCTCCAGTAACCCTATCATGCCACTCCATGCTGCTGCCTTTGTATTTAATCTTCAAGGAGCGGGCCCGCGAAGCTGCGTAGCGTCGTGACGTATCGTCGTAGTCGCCGACATGTTCTGAATCTCTGAGCTGCACGCATGATTTCGCAGCAATCTTGAATGCTCGCTTCCAGACCAGATCGCTTGACTCGTGCAACCCTGACGGCTCGCTCTTGTATCGCTTCAAACAGAAACAGAAACCTCAACTTTCTCTTAGATGTTTCGCTTCAGGACTCTCGCTGCTCGTTGGTTTTCTCATTCGACCTCCCCGTGTCCCCGTTATTGCGTGTCTCTGCGTCTCTTTATCCCGTCGGTCACAATGAGGCAGGTAAACGACGCTTATCTCGCACAATGCATCTCTTCCATCCCCGAGGATCGCCTGATTGGTCCTCTCAAGCCCACCATCAACGAGATCTTCTCTGCCTGCCTCAGGTGAATTCACAGCCTGTCTCAGGTGAAATTTCAGCCTACCTTGGGTGAATCTACAGCCTACTTCGGGTGAAAACCCGGCCGGTCTCAGGTGAATCACAGCCTAGCTCAGGTGAAATCACAGCGTGGCAGGTCCCTAGTCAATTCCTAAGCATGCGCAGGCCCCTAGTTAACTTCTTCGCCTTCGCTGCTTATTGGTTCAGCTGCCCTGCGGCTTCTTGCCCCAGGTGAATCCGCAGAGTTTTACAGGTGACTTTACATACACAGCAAACACTGAATCGTTACTCTCCCCTCGCCGCCTACTGACACCTGCCATCCAGACACTTTCTTCGTCGTCCCTCTCATTCGGTCCCTTGTCTTTCATTCTCTTGTTTAACGGGGGTTCATCTTATAAGTTTTCCTCGCCACCCATCCCTTCCCTACCCTTCACGTGCTCCTCCAAACCCCTCCCACTTCTTCCTCCCCTGCCCTGACAACTCATACCTTCCCTCCTTTTTCCTCATCCCTCTTTCCCAACCAGATATTTGAGTGATGTGAATTTCATACGAGTGGCGCATGCTCTTGAAACCCTAGCCGTGTTTCTGAGGGAGATTTTAAAAAAGCGGTTTGCGGAGCAGGTAAGCGTGGTGCCATGATGGGATGCTTCTCTAGCCCTTGTGCCACGCCACGACTGGAACCTTAGCCGTGTTTCTGAGGGTAGAGGTTTGCGGAGCAGGTGAGGTGAGGGTTATCATGTGATGGGGATTCATATGAGCAGCCCACATACCATACGCTTGGATCGAGTTTTTGGGCGCGTTTGTGTGTGAAGTATTCGGATAGCAGTTTGGAGAGGAGGCGGCATGGTTCTGTGTGGGACTGGGACAGGTCGGGGGGCGCAGGGGGCGCAGGGGGCGCAGGGGGCTGAGGGGGCTGAGGGGGCTGAGGGGGCTCTGGGGGCTCAGGGGGCTCAGGGGGCGCAGGGGGCTCAGGGGGCGCAGGGGGCCAGCAGAAAATGGTAATTGGTCGGCTTCCCCGTGCACACTTTTCTTCCCACGTCCCCCTACATTGTCACCTGCAGTCCTTCACTATAATCATGCCCTTGCAGGCAATGCGGGCAGGCGGAGGGGATGCACTTCAGGACTTGAACCATCCCTTTCCCCCTGTTCTTCCCCCCCCAACTCTCCTTCCCCCTTCCGTTGTCACCCCTCCCGTTTTCCCCCATTGTCACTAGCAGACCTTCACTATAATCACACTCGTTGCAGGCAACGCGGACAGTGGGGATGCCTATTTCAAGAAGCTCATCTGTGACGTCTCTGGCCTACTCACAGGGGAAAACGTGCCAGTGCTTATAAAAGCGCTTGGGACCAGGTAGGGTAACCCTGTAAGCTATGATCTTCCCTATAATCACACAGTGGGGATGCTTATTTCAAGAAGCTCATCTGTGACGTCTCTGGCCTGCTCACAGGGGAGCAAGTTCCTGTGCTTATCAAAGCACTTGGGACAAGGTAGGGTAACCGTGTAACGTAATGTACAAGCGATAATCACACACTAGGGATGCCTATTTCAAGAAGCTCATCTGTGACGTCTCTGGCCTACTCACAGGGGAGAACGTGCCTGTGCTTATAAAAGCGCTTGAGACCAGGTAGGGTAACCCTGTAACATATGAACCTGGAATGCCCACTTTTTTTAATCATCTGTGACGTCTCTGGCCTACTCACAGGGGAGAACGTGCCTGTGCTTATAAAAGCACTTGGGACCAGGTAGGGTAACCCTGTAACATATGAACCTGGAATGCCCACTTTTTTAAATCATTCGAGATGTCTCCGGCCTGCTCACAGGGGAGAACGTGCCAGTGCTGATAAAAGCACTTGGGTGGGACCAGGTAGGGTAACTGTGCGATGTTTTACCTTCGCTACACCAAGTGGCTATAGTGAAGCCACTGTGATGTCTCCTTCTGAGGCACGTCAAAAGTTTTACCTTCACTATAGTCACAGTGGCTGTAGTGAAACTACTGTGGTGTCTCCAGGCTGCTCACAAGGGAGCACTTCCCGCTCTCTGCTCCCTCCCCCTGCTCCCTCCCCCTGCTCCCTCCCCCTGCTCCCTCCCTCCCAGGCTCTTCCTCATGCTGCTCACAGCCACAGACAACGTGAGCGCCAACCCCTATGCTCCTCTTATTCCTCCCTGCTCCCTCTCCCGGCTCCCTTACTCTGCTCCCTCCCTCTGCTGCCCCTCCCCCAGGCTCTTCCTCATGCTGCTCACCGCCACAGACAACGTCAATGCCGCCCCGATGCTCCCCTTACTCTCCCCTGTTCCCTCTTCCTCCCTGCTCTCTCCCCCTGCTCCCCCACCCCTGCTCGTTCCCCCTCCCAGGCTCTTCCTCGTGCTGCTCACAGCCACAGACAACATCAACGCCAACCCAGTCGCCTCCTACCTGCTCCTCCACCCCATCACGGACCCCCTCCTCTCCCTCCTCACCCTCTCCCCTCCTCACCACCGCCAGCGCCTCGAATTCGACACCTCACTCGTCCTCCTCCTCCTGCTGCTCTGGCGTAGAGCTTCCAACCCCTATGCGGATAGAATCGCCTCGTCAGCCAACGCGCCCCTGGTTCCGCTGCTGCATACGATTCACTCGCTGCTCTCACTTTCCCAGGAGCCGGGGCAGGGGAGTGGGGGGATGGCGGGAGCAGGAGGGGGAGGAGGGGGAGGGGGAGGGGGAGCGGCGGGGGGAGGGGCTGGAGGAGGAGGAGGTGGGGCGGGAGGAGCAGAAGGGGCGGGTTTAGGAGGAATTAGTTCTTATCTGCCTTCTATGGGCATGATTTCGTCTCAGGCATCATCAGCTTTGTCTGTAATGGCGTTTGCCACGTCAGCAGCCACCCAGGCACTGTACAGTTACGCGAGCACGGCAATAGGGGGGATAGCGAGCGGGAAAGGGCTGGGGGAACTGCCCCCTATAACGAGTGTGATTGTAGAGAAGTTCACGGAGAGAGGGAGCGGAGCGGGGGAGGTGGATGGTCAGTGGGCGTATGGCACCTGTGGCGTGCTGCTGCTGTATTTCCTCGTGGCTCTCAACCCCACTGCAAGATCGCCTGCTGTAAGTCTTGGTGTACGGTCAATGGGCGTCTGTAAGTATGGGTGTCTGGGTCTCCCAAGCAAGAATGTTACACTTGGCTCGCTGTCAGGGGTTGAGGTAGACGGTCAGTGGGCGTATGGCACCTATGGAGTACTGCTGCTGTATTCTCTTGTCGCACTCAACCCCACTGCAAGATCTCCAGCTGTAAGTCTTGGTGTACGGTCAATGGGCGTCTGTAAGTATGGGTGTCTGGGTTTCTCAAGCAAGCAAGCATGTAGCAGTATGCTGTCAGCTGGGGAAGGGGGGTGTGGGCGGTCAGTGGGCGTATGGCACCTGCAGGGTGCTGCTGCTGTATTTCCTTGTCGCTCTCAACCCCACTGAATGTCACTCGCTGTCAACTGGTGGGGTGGGAGGCCTGGATCCCCGACTGGAAGTCTGGATGTCTAGATGGCCAACGGGAGCACGTCACGTGCTACGCCTCCTGCTGCTGCTGCTGCTGCTGCTGCTGCTGCTGCTGCTGCTGCTGCTGCTGCTGCTGCTGCCACGCTTCCCTTTCCGTAGTTTTCATTCCAGCTGTGGCCGCATGAGGGCTTCGTTGTGGGGCCTGGCAAGTCGCTTTCTCTCCTGTGGGGAGACGTGCTTCGCGTCCTGCTCCTGCTCCTGAGCTTATGTTTATGTTTTCTCCCTTGGCATGTCTCCCTGTTGCATGTCATCCCATCACCATTCCAGCTGTGGCCGCATGAGGGCTTCGTTGTGGGGCCTGGCAAGTCGCTTTCTCTCCTGTGGGGAGACGTGCTTCGCGTCCTGCTCCTGCTCCTGAGCTTATGTTTATGTTTTCTCCCTTGGCATGTCTCCCTGTTGCATGTCATCCCATCACCATTCCAGCTTTGGCCGCATGAGGGCTTCGTTGTGGGGCCTGGCAAGTCGCTTTCTCTCCTGTGGGGAGACGTGCTTCGCGTCCTGCTCCTGCTCCTGAGCTTATGTTTATGTTTTCTCCCTTGGCATGTCTCCCTGTTGCATGTCATCCCATCACCATTCCAGCTGTGGCCGCATGAGGGCTTCATTGTGGGGCCCGGCAAGTCCCTCTCCCTCCTGTGGGGCGACTGCCTGCGCCTGCTGCTGCTGTCAACACTCATCCTCACTCATTCTCATCCTCACTCCATATCCCCTCCACTCCACTCCAGCTGTGGCCGCATGAGGGCTTCATAGTGGGACCCGGCAAGTCCCTCTCCCTCCTGTGGGGCGACTGCCTGCGCCTGCTGCTGCTCACGTGCCGAGATGCCTTTGACCCGCACGCCCTGCAAGGGGAGGGAGGGCTACCAAGGGCAAAGGTACGAAAAAGGTGTAAAGAAGGGTACTGAGGGGTACTGGAGTGTGCTTCGCCTCCTGCTGCTCACGTGCCGAGATGCCTTTGACACACATGCCCTGCAAAAGGAAGGGGGCCTGACAAGGCCTGAGGTGGGGACGTGAGAGAGAATAGACGAACGTCCATACCTCAGCCCTCCTCCTCCTCCTCCTCCTCCTCCTCCTGTACAGATGCCAACATGCCTTTGACCCGCACGCACGCTGCTCCTTTTCCTCCTCGTCCGTCCATCCGCTGCTAGAGGGAACGCCACACGGCCAAGTTCCTCTTCAGATGCCTCGCCCTGCCTTGCGCTGCCTTCCTCCCCTATCCCCTGCCTGCTCTGCCACCAACCGCAGGTGCTTTTCCTCCTCGCCCGGCTGCTGCTAGAGGAGCGGCACACAGCCGAGTTCCTCTTCAGATGCGACCCCGCCACCTTCCTCATGCACTCGCTCGAGCCTCCCAGCCCCTCATCACCTGGTACGACTCCTTCCAATCCCTCATCACCTGCCCTCCCAGCCCCTCATCACCTGGTACCACTCCTCCAACCCCAGTCTTGCGGTTATTGGACTCTTCCAGTCGTTCTAACCCCTCACCCCTCATCTCCCCTCGTCCATCTCTCCAACCCCCCAACCAAGGTTCAAAAATACGGTTTTCGTAAAAAACGGTCCGTTTTTTACGGTAATTTTCCAAAAAACGGCGTTTTTTTGTTAGAGAACTGTTGTCACCAACAAAAAAAGGGAAAAACGAGGTCGAATACATTTTCAATCATGCCCACAAGCGCACGCATGCAAGGAGGGGTTCGTCCTCTTCCTCTTGGTACCTTTCGCCATCAATTTGGTCCCAGAAATCGGCCGATTTTTTCTTCAAACGAAACCACCTTCTGGAACCTTTTAAACCGTTTTTTACGGTCGTTTTTTACGGTAAATTTTCAAAAAAACGACGTTTTTTTAAACCTTGCCCCCAACATCCCATCCGCAGCCGTATTCCCGCATTCCCCGCAATCTGCAGCCATATCGCACCGTTCCCCGCGCACGCCATCTCACCCTCGCTCATCCATGTCCCACGCGTTCTTCAACATGGGAGTAGCAGTCCTCTCCCTCCCCCTCCCCTCAAAGCCCTCCGTTTCCCCATTTCCCTTCCCCTGTTTTCCCCCATTCCTCCCCCCAATCTGCAGCCATGTCCCCTCGTTCCCCGCGCACGCCATCCCACCCACGCTCCTCCATGTCCCACGCATTCTTCAACATGGGAGTAGCCGTCCTCTCCCTCCCCCTCCCCCCCACACCCTCACCCGCCCAACCTTCCTTTAACACACTCCCTCCCTCCGTCTCCCACACAACCACCAATCCCCCCTCCTCCTCATCCTCCTCTTCCTCCTCCCCTCACCCCTCCTCCTCTCACCCCTCCTCCTCCTCGCTCTCCTCCACTCCCTCCTCCTCCTCGCAACCCACTCCCTCTATGGATCCGGACGCGCTAGTGAGAGCAGCAGTGGTGGTTTCTCTGGTGCTAAATTTCGCCCGCGCCAAAGGGATAGCTCTCAGCACGGCAACAGTGGACTGGTTCGGCCTCTGGCGATCTCTCATTCGGATATGCGACTGGTGCCGCGCGGATAGCAACTTCCAGGTGGGTGTGGGTGTGACTGTATGAGTGGGAGCGTGTGTGTGTGTGCGAGTCTGCATGTGCTTGCGAGTCCCTCTCTCCTTCTCTTGCTGTCGCTCATCCGGATATGCGACTGGTGCCGCGCAGACAGCAACTTTCAGGTGGGTGTGACTGCCAGCATGAGCCCAGAGGGTGGCGCTCAGCACGGCAACATATGGGGGTGTTCGAGGGGCTCCGCTCCTCCCCATTGTCAATGGGAATTGGCCCCGCCCTCGCTTGGGCGAAACCGACTTCGTGGTTAGATGCCCGGGAGGCGTAGCCGACCGTCTGCAACGGTCGACGCCTGCCTGGGTGAACAGGTCGACGAAGTTGGTCGACCTGCGGGGGACCACTGTGAAGCCGCCGACGACGGGAACTCGGCGACCAACTTTGACTCGTGTGGTCGACGAAGGGTTTCTTCAATCGGCGGGAGCCGACTTTGTGGTCGGCTAAGTCGACTTGTTTAGCCGACATGGAGGATCAAGTCGCCGTGGTTAGCCGACTTCGACAACGGAGCCGACTTGGAGGAAGCAGGCTTCTGCGGAGCTGGCTTCGGTGAAGCCGGCTGCGGTGTGGTCGACGAAGGGACTCGTCGGCCTGGTGGGGGTGCTGACTTGAGGACGCCGATCTGGTGACGCCGACTTCGGGAAGCCGGCGGATGGCGTCGACCTGGGTGGTCGACGAGCACGTAAAGCAGTTGGCGGGCTCCCACCACCCAAGTCGGCGCCGACTTGTCGGTTTCCCGATCGACCAAGTTACGCGGTCGACAAGGTTATGCGAGGTGCGCGACCGTCGCCCAGGAGGTTCTGGCAAAGCTGACCTCATGCTAGTATCCCGAGGTCGACATGGCTCATCAGGTGCAACTGTCGGCACGTGGCCGACTTGGGCACCTGCGCAATGTGCGTGACGGTGCACGTCGTGCTCAACCATCTACAAGCACCTGCGAAGTAGGTGCGCGCATGTGCGCTACTGTCACCTGCGGTTGCAACGCTGGCATACCGCTCTGCTGCAGCATTGGCAAGCCGCCTTGGTGGAGCGCTGGCAAGCCGCCGACTTGCTACGTTGGCAAGCTGCTGCTCTGCAGTGCTGGCGCGCCGTCGACTTGCAGTGCTGGCAGTCGACCTGCTGGTGTGCTGGAACTTGCATCTAATGTAGTCATTGTTGCCTTTGACATTGTTACCATTGTTGAATCGTTTGCTAGTGAAACTCTTGCCTTGTGAACGAGCAAGTAGAGGGAACACGAGCAACCGTTGCGATCACTTGTACCACCCGTGCTTCCCCCCCCTACTATAGCTCCCGGTGTAGAGTGACTCTCCGCACCTATCCCTCTCGACCTCTCTCTGAACAGCTTAATCTCTTTCAATTCCCCATGACTCTCTTGCCCTGCATCCCCCGTCTCTCCCAACAGCGCCCAGGGGTGCCAGAGGTAGCGGAGATATCATTGGGTCTGCTGGAAGCATGTGTGGGAGCAGGAGCAGACCTGGTGGGCGGGTCGGGGATTCACTCTGGAGGGAGCAGCGTGGGAGCGAGCGGGTGAGACGACCTGGAGATGCTGCACGCGGGGGTGTTTGAGGGGCTCCGATCCTCCCTCCCAATCTCTCAAAATCTCCCTCTTTCCCTCTATTACCCTCTCGTCTTTCCCCCAGCGCCCAGGGGTGCCAGAGGTGGCGGAGATTTCCTTGGGCCTTTTAGAGGCTTGCGTGGGAGCAGGAGCAGACCTGGTGGGCGGGTCAGGGATTCACTCTGGAGGGAGCAGCGTGGGAGCGGGCGGGTGTGACGACCTGGAGATGCTGCACGCACTACTGCTGGCGCACATGGGGGTGTTTGAAGGGCTTCAGGCGACAGCTGAGCGAATCACGTTTGGGGCAGCGGCTAAAGTATCAATTACCGGAGGAATCACTCTGGTGAGTCTTTGAGTAGCATGTCAAGGAGTGCGATCGGTGTTACTTTTGTGAACTCTTAAAAAGTGACACCAATATAGCCTTTGAGTAGCATTTGAAGGAGTGCGATCAGCCAGGGCATGAATGGGAGGGCGTGTAATGCTGTTGCACGCGCTGCTGCTGGCGCACATGGGGGGTGTTCAAAGGAATTACACTGGTGAGTCTTTGAGTAGCATGTCAAGGAGTGCGGTCAGCCAGGGCATGGCTGGGAGGGCGTGTAATGCTGGCGCACATGGGGGTGTTTGAAGGGCTTCAGGCGACGGCTGAAAGAATCACGTTCGGGGCGGCAGCTAAAGTGTCGATTACCGGAGGGATTGAACGGGATGGAACGGGTTGGGACGGGACGGGACGGGATGGGAGGGGATGGGATGGGAGGGGATGGGATACGGTGGGATGGGGTGGAATGTGGTGCGTGGATGGCATTGAATAGGGATGGGATGGGAAGGTGTGGGGGGGGATGGTGGCCGTGTCGACAAGGAATGGAATGAAATGATTCAGGTGGCTGAAAGGACAACTCCGACCATTCACAGAAAACATTTTGCCCCCCCTGCAAGTGGCAGGCATGGGCATGCGGCTCATCTTTTGTCTCCTGTCCACACCCCACAGGTGAACATCAAGGAGTTAAGAGACCACTACGAGGTGCAAGCAGCAGGCATGGGCATGCGGCTGGGAAGCATCACAGAAGAGCAAGCGCTGACAGTTATCCGCAAGAAGGGCATGAGTGGACTGAAGGTGAAGCCACGTCATGTGGGCCCCACACACGTGTACTCGGAGGGCACGGCGGAGCTCCGGATTCTCACTGCTGCCACCCGGCTGCTGGTGGCACACCACCGGAGAAATTTCTGGTCGTTGCTGCCCAAGCTGGAGCTTGAGAATTATTGATATGGGGCGTGTGGTGGTTACTCATTAGTGTGGCACCAGTGTGGATTAACGTCATCTCAGCTACATCTGATTTTGAGGGTACGTATATTCAGTGTGCTAGTAATTCGTACAAATGTCATCCCTTCTTCAGAAAAAAATAATGTATACAAACTCATGCTTTGAGAACAATGAAGCAAACCGGTGTAGAACAACTTGCGGTAGAAACTTCCTGGACATTCCTTTCGAGTATGGTCTGGGTTTGGTCAGGTCGGGTTCAGGCAAGTCGTGCAACGTTGTCAGCGTGCGACGAGTGCAATGACAGGCGAGCAAGGGACCTCCATGATGAAATGCTTCTACAGTATTTTGAGCTGGTGACAGTTGGACATTCCAAACCCCATCAATCTAGACAAACAAGACTTCCCACTGTTTTCTAAATGCAAGCTGGTCCCAACGACAAGTATCTGTTGAGATGATTCATTCGTCGTTCACACGCGGTTTCTGGTTCCCGCGAACGCGGTTTCCTCTGCTTTTGCAATCTTTTACGATCTCTTTAATTTTGAAGCGTCACGGCAGTCCATCTGTACGACAGTCAATGCCAAATTACCGAATTTAGGTTTTGATTCCAAATCGAATATTAAGATCCATGTCAGCTTCGAGCTTGCACGGGTATGATTCATTAATGGAAAGCGACAAGAGTTCTCGATGGTCACGGACCACCTTGAAATAATTTGTGGTGGAGCTAAACCTTGGTGGTGGCTGATTGAGGCAGCACGCCTACACGTTCATCAAGTGCAATCCCATCGCATGCGTCCCTCCCAATCTCGTGTAAGTTTTTTTTTTTGGGTTCAGCAAATTTGGTCTTCGTGAAAAAGTAGTACCATAGCGAACACTTTCAAGCTAGTAGCTGCAAAATACCACACAAAAAAATTCGTAATTGTTTCGCGCAGGAAGGCCATGTTTTTCGCCTTTTTCCTTGCCAACAGCACAAGCCTGTCGCCGAACTCTCCTCCACCGTCACCGTCCCAAAAAGGACAAATTCAGACATGAAACGACAACACAAGGGGGAGGAGATGCTACAGTTCTTTAGATTCGAATCCTTTCCCCGATTCTTGTTCCCGATTCCCTCCGGAAAGAGGGATGCACTGCGCGGCAGCAGCATTTCCCCCCGCTTGCTTGCCTGACATCAGGCGAGCCGTAGGGACTACTACACACCGCTCGATCAGTTGCCGGAACCGTCGGACAAATGCTGCCGATTGGTTGATTTGTTTATGTGTGGATGTGAACCACCTGCCACGCGGTATCCAAATGCGCGTCGTCCCTAAGCTCTGTCCTGCTGGAATGCCAGACAAATTCAAACACTTGCTGATTCAAATACAGTTCGGTTCTTGTCGGTCTGCATATGTTTGATCAGTTGCTCCATGGTACCGCAGACATTTGACCACAGAAGTGTTGCGGGTGGTTTTCCCTCAGCCACTCACTCTCCCTGGAGCAAGCTGAGCAACCTCTAGCCCCAGCGACACCATCCCCTCACCGTAGCATACCCAACCATTCTACGTCAGACCGTCAAACAAAGACGAAAAGCGTTCAAGCACAGCAACTGGACATAGAAAAAGGCGAAACGCCTCAGACCGTACCATTTCCCACATCGGCGTACAGTATTTACGAGAGGAACTGCATTTTTTCGTTTCTCAGCCAGTTACCGCCGTGCCTTTCGGAACGATTTTACCTTCAGAAGATCATCTGAAGCTCTTATAGGAGCGTCATTCTCTGTATATAGAAGCTCACGGCCAACAATAATCAACAGTTGATATTCGAACAACAGGGCGTTCGTGTCTAATAACGTGCGTTCCGGTACTATCGTGTGGTTCGGTCTCTCCACAACATTCGGAGAAAGGCATCGAGATTCTTGTCCACATGGAGTCTTTCAAAAGAGTAAAGCTCGGCCCGAATGAGTTCGCCGCGTATTCGCAGCCCGCATTCTTCGGCGTCCCTTCCCTCCATTGCAGCAACATCTCAAAGCCGATTCCTTCCCTTGGCGAAAAGGACCGAACTTCTGCGATTTTCGCAGCCGTGGCGGCGCATCGAGCCCAGAGTTTTTCGCATGACGTTCAACGACCCGTTGCCGGCGACGGCTGCGATTCAACGACGACGCGTCGCACATGCCACTTCGATCGCGTGCCCGACGAGCTGGTCGCAGAAATCGCGCGATGCGTCTTCGCTAAAGCGCAATCGGCGGCGGACGTTGCGGGGATGCTCGTGACGTGCAGGCGATTCAGTAGTGTTTGCCACCCTGCTGCCAGCTGGTCGCTACGCGCCTCGGCCGCCATCGAAATGCTTCTGCCGGCAGACGCAGCGCGATGGACGGCGGCGGCGCAGCGGCTGCTCCTGAGCGCTGCGGCGGAGGGCAACCTGGAGGCGATTTACGTTGTGGGCATGGTGAGTCAGCACTTGCCGACTCGGTGCATTTCGTGTTTCGCAAGCATTTGCCCTCCCTGTCGACTCTCAGACACCCCCGCTTTTTGAGTCTAGAATTACTAATTCCCCCACCTCTTCTCCACCTCCCCGCGCATTCTTCCCCATTCTTCCCCATTCTTCCCCTCCAGATCTCCTTCTACTGCCTCAACAACCACTGGGCGGGCGCAAAGCTCCTCGCGCAAGCGGCGGAAGCTGGGCACGGCGCGGCGATGTACTCTCTCGCGATTATCAACTTCCACGGCAGCGGCGGCGCGGCGGACGACGCCAATCCCGAAGTCGGCGTGGAGCTGAGCTGGCGCGCCGCGCGGCTCGGGTTTCTTCCCGCTTTACAGGAACTCGGGCATTGCTTCTTAGACGGGTACGGCGTCGCGCAAAGGACGTCCTTGGGGCAGCTGCTGCTGCAACACGCGGCGGCGGGGCTGGCGGAAGCGGACCGGCGGAGAAGCGCGAAGGCCAAGGCGCGCTCCGCGCCCGTTTCCCCCCCGTGCGCGGAAGCAGGAACTGCGCGGGCGGAGGTATTGCAAGAGGGGAAGCGGAAGCCGCAGTCACAGCAGCAGCCGCAGCAGCGGGAGCTCCGCAGCATCGGCCGCTCGCGCAGCTGGCCGCAGTGCCTTGTTTCTTCCCCCGGCGGCGGAGTCCCCGCCTCCGCCCGCGCGCGCGCGTGCGCGAGAGGTGACTGTAACGCGAGAGGTGACTGTAACGAAGCGTGCGGCAGGGGGATGCTGCGAGGCGCTGACGCGGGAGCCGCGAGGCTTAGGGGGGATGTGACTGTAGAGGGCAGGGGGAACGGGGGCGCTAGAGGAGCGGGGGAAGGAAAGGACGAGAGGGAGATCAACCGTCGCGATGACGCGCAAGGGGAGGAACGGCAGATGCGTAGAGAGGCGGAAAGCGCGCAAGCGCCGTCTGAACGGGTCGCAGATCGAACCATGGTTTTCTCACTCTGTTCCGAGGAGGAAGAGCGAGAGGAGGGGCAAGAGGGGCAGAGGCGGCAAGGGGCGGAAGGGGAGGAAGAGGATGCAATGGGAATGTTGCTGCTGCTAGAGGAGATTGCTGGGGAGAGAGGCGTGGAGGGAGCAGAGAGCAAGCAGGAGAGCGAGCTGGAAAACCAAGGGTTTGAGGCTTGCCCGTTGTCCCTGGAACTGTCCCTTTCGCCGCCTTCGCCTGTCTGTGAATCAGCAAACGCAATCGCTGCTTCTGCTGCTGCTGCTGCAGGTGCTCTAGCTGGTATCCTGAGAAGCTATGGGGGCGTGTGTGGGGAGGACCAAGACTCTTGGATAGACTCTGAGGATGATGAGAGTGATGTGGAGGGGGATGAGGAGATGGAGGAGGAGAGTGAGGAGGAGAGTGAGGAGGACGAGGAGGAGGAGAGGGAGGAAGGGTCGAGCAGCCCACTGCTCTCTGCTCCATCCTTCGCCTCTCTCACCTTCATTCGGCAAATGCTTCCACTAGCCGCCTCCCCTGCTGCCACTGCTGCCGCCACTGCTACAGCTGCCCTCAGCAGAAGATCTGCAGTCGCAGCTGCCCCGGCTGTAGCTGCCACGTCAGCAGCTGCTGCATCCACCGCAGCTCTCCAGCTGGCGTTTCAGCGGCCGCAGGCCGCCCATCGCGTGCACGACTTCCTCGCCAGCTGGCATGCGCTGCGCTCGCTGCCAGCTGGCAGGCGCTGCTGCGGAAACCCTGCGTGCTGCCGGCCGGAGACGCGGGAGAACGAATTCAGGAGTTGTGTGCGGTGCGGAAAGGCGAAGTACTGCAGCCGGTCGTGCCAGGTGGCTGATTGGAAATTCAGGCACTCCTTCATCTGCTGCCCTGAGTGAGGCTTCACGAGAAAATTCAGGAAGTTTGGGGCATTCTTTCATTTGCTGCCCAGGCTCCGGGCGTCGCTGCGAGCTAGGCTGGCTTCGATGCCTCACGCCTTGCAAGCTGCATTTCACTATACTTGGCACAAGGTACTGTAGATAGGAGGTGGGGCATTACTACGGTATATGGAAAGGCGAGCATGCATAGGATACATACCACATTAGTATGACATGTCTTTTGCAGAGCTCAATGGGTTGCCTGGTATATAAATAGTGAAGCCATTTTTTTTGTGCTTGACACGAACCAGCAGAGCTTGCAGGAGTACGTACGGGTAATAGCGGGTAATAGTTGTTATGAATGAACTTGCAGAGTGCGCAGAATATCGATTAATGAGAATGAGGATTACTGAATGACGATACATTGAAAGTGACGAGGCCTAATTAGGGGAAAAGCTAACTAGGCGGGGAGGTCGGGCGAAGATGGCTCGCTGATGGTTGCGATGGGTGCGGAGGGGACTCGGGAGTGGTTTGGCCGACTAAATAGGCCGAACAGGTTCGTTGCGTGACCCTCGGGATGTACAAGATAAAGTGGAGTACAGTAAGGGATTACAATTCCTTCAATAGTGAAGCTGATTGTACATCTATTTGCATCACAAATCGAGCACTTCTGCAACACATTTGCCGGGATCAGTGGGTGTTGTGTGGTGTTTCTGAGCAAGCTTCATTTGTGTGGGGCGATTCATGCTCCCT